TAATAAATTGGTAAAATATCTTTGATCAATCTAAATTCTTCTAGATGACTTGAAATCTCAGGTCCCAAGAATTAGGAATGATGTTGACATTTAAAGATCAGTGATTGCTTAGATTAAAAATGAAATCAATGATACAGATGAAAAACTCAGATCACTGATTCATAGACATACTGTTAAGATCTAGGATCATGATAAAAAGCTAGATGAACTCAAGAAAAATATGAATGAAAGAAAAGGGACAGCGAGCATGCCGATTTCACTAGATCTTATGGATAGCAAGAGAGGAAACGAAGAAGAAGGTGTGCCCGAATTATTGAATCTACCTAGAGAATCTTCTGCAGTAGAAGCCAAATCTCTAAGAGATGAAATAAGAAGAGTTCAGCAAACTCTCGAGCACAAAATGAAGGAGAAAGTTGATAAGAGAGATCTTGAGGAGATCAAAGGTATTATTCGATAGTTTTTAGCTTTATTCTATTTTCTAGCTAATATGTTGAAATTCATTGATGAGGAACTTTAACAAAAGACAAAAAGATTCGTTGACAAGTAAGATCTAAAGATGTACAAAACTTATCTTGAGAAACAAGTAAGATTATAAATGGATATCAATAATCGATTAGCTTGAAAATTTGTTTACTCTGATTTAAACAAGAATTCCCACAGTTCCTGAAGGAGATAGTGCTATGCTTTCAAAGAAACCTTTGGGAGGCTGGTCTTGTGCAAGTTGTGAGAAGAACTTAACTAATATCATGAGTTAATCTTAAGATCATTAATCTTGGAACAGACTGCCTATGAGAGAGCCAAACATTAAATTGGCTAAAGCTGGTTAGGGCTTCTCTAAGATTCTTTCAAAGATGAAACCTGGGGAATTGAATATTGGTTCTAGCAGAATAGGAGAGGATGATAGTCAGCTTATCACTCAATCTTTAAATATCAGTCCTAATACCAGAGATATAAAGTAAAATTTATCGTTAACTTCTTAATTAAATTTGAATATAGTGGTAATATTGGTAATATGATGTAAAAGTACAACTCAAATGTAGTTTAGTACCAAAGTGCTTCAAGAATAGCCACAACTTCTATGTTTGCCAATTTCCAATAGCAATAGCAATAGCAATAATAGGAGATTGAGATAATTGATGGTGAAATTTAGGGTCAAGCTACTATGATCCACAACAGATCAGTGAGCTAATTGCCAAAAATTAACCAGAAGATGTCAAAACAAAGAAAGTAATGACAAGCTAATTTATTGATGAGAGTTGATTGATTGATTGATAAGAGATTTAAATTACTTCCATAATTCATTATTTATAAGACCTAATAAATTTATCCTGAATTTTGAACTTAACCTATATAATGGGGTTTTGGGGTTTTGGGGTTTTGGGG